CACAATTTGGTTCCTCACTCCACGCCTGGCCTTTCAAATCTCCTGCTGCAGCTGGAATAAAAAATGGTGGCCAGTTGGTCCTTCATGGCACAATTGCCTTTCCCTACAGCACGATTGTTTACTCTCGACATGTACTCCGAGTGGCAATACGCTGCACAAAAATGGCTTTGTTATGTCGTATTTTATTTTTTTAAATGGTTCAAAAGGGGGAAAGTAGGACAATAGACTATAGAGCTCTCTTTTCACACTGTATATGCTCAACTTCATGATCAGAAATGTGCAGTTTTGTGTGACAGTAATTGTCTTTTTCTCCTTTCATGATCCTGAAACGCATAGAAACGCTGCATAATATACAATATAATAGTGCTTCTTTGTCAATATGACTGACGAACGCTGAAAGCCATATCGAAGAGTCCTGAGATTGTATTACTGGTGTTTTATCATCTCAGCTGGTGTAAGTGCAGAATATTGAATATAACCTTGACTATTACTGTGTACTTCATTTATCTGACAGCATTATCTAATGATACTATATATATATATATACACACATGTATTCATTTATAAACATATATATATAAACACACACTTATATGTACTCACACATGTATTTATTAATGTATACACACAGATGAATTCATTAATTTATACACACACACTCACATATATATACTTTATATTAATTCATTTGTACACACACACACATATATATATATATATAAACGAAACAACACAATATAATAAAAACAGTTGCAATAATAACATAATGTGGTATGATCAATTCTACCCTTTTGTTTTTGCTCCCATATTTCAATTAAAAGATATTTTTCAAAATCAATATTGGTGGGGGCAAAAACAAAAGGGTAGAATTGATCATACCACATTATGTTATTATTGCAANGTTGCTAATTCTCGATTGTCGGCACGCTGATAAACATTTTTTTTTTAAATGGCACTTCATATAAAAAAGGTTGCCGACCCCTGATCTAAACTATACCACTTAATAACAGACTTATTGTCCAGATAAAAGACAAGGCATTACAAAGAATAACATGCAAGCACATGAAGTACATTTAAAGAGAATATAAACATTTTAGCATAACTATACCAATGTTTTAGGATTTTATATATATATATTTATAAATGAATAAATGTGTGTGTATATATATAAAACAGTGTCATTAAATAATGCTGTGTGTGTATAAATGAATGAATACATCTGTGTGCATAAATTAATAAATACATGTGTGAGTACATATAAGTGTGTGTTTATATATATATATGTTTATAAATGAATAAATGTGTGTGTATATATATATAAAATAGTATCATTAAATAATGCTGTGTGTGTATAAATGAATGAATACATCTGTGTGTATAAATGAATAAATACATGTGTGAG